ACCGGACATTCCAGGTGCATGCCCTCAATTCGTAGTCCTTATTTCGTTTGCCATAGTCGTCATCAAAAGTGGGGTCTCTCATCCGAGGCTGTTGTTGCATTTTCATTAGGGTGGCTTTTTACGTGGCGGGTCCCAAACCCAGAGCACAACCCTATGCAGGGAATGTTTCGCCTTCTCACTTTAGCTTACCTTCAAACGGATGTTCTTAGGCTACCCAGAGCATACTTGGACAAGGACCGGAAGTCGTGAGCTGCTTGAGTCATATGTAAAAGAATCGTTTCTGACCACTCCCACGTGAATGGCGATCAGAAAACTTTCCTCACTTGCGTGAACTTCTACACATGACTCCATCCTTATATCTAGAAAATATGTAATTAAAATATTGCAAATTTTCAACTTTAAACGCGAATAACTCGAAAACTGTAAGCTTCCTGCTGCTATAACCATATATATCCTTGATCAGGATAATCTCCTCTATCCGACCATATCCTTTTTATCCTTGAAATCCTGGGACGGTGTACTAAAGCCGACCCAAGACGGTTGCTGTACTGCTGTATTCATTACTTAGCTCGAACACATGCCTTGTTAGTAAAAGAAATTATGACACAAATCATACCTGCGGCTTTTGTTGTATTCTTAAGGAATGTTGCAGAATTGACAATTTTTTGTTAATATATAAACCTTCACCCGTTACAGTTTACTTTCAAACGTAGCAGGAAAAATCGATGATTTTTATTCGTTTATTGTTATTATAACGACGTTTTAGAAAATTCTCCAGAACGAATTCAATTTCTTTGTTCGGATTTATTGTCTGTACACCTTAAATACAAACAATGACAAAATCATGTGAACACTGTGAAATACTTATGAATATGTTATTTATAAACCTTAAAAAATTATTTACACCCCTTTTTACAAATAATAGTAAAGGATGTAATTTTCATTTGTACGATTAATCGATTTCTTTAAGCATTGCATCCAGGTCATCAAAATCACTTCGTACTTCTTTTTTAAATACTTTAGAAGTGTTTAATTGTTCATACAAATTTTCAATATATTTTTTTTCTGAAATCGATACAATTGACGGCATAGACCTTTCAGGTTCAACGGCATTCATTTTCGTATTAATAATCTGCATTTTCACATGGTCTACGTTTTCATCAAGGTTCTGTATAGTCATAGTGCTAGACACCTCACTTGTTCGATGAACAGAATCGCATAGGTGACCACGAGAGATTCTTTGTCCAAGCTCTACCCCATCTGAATTCAGAAAAGTATATTTAAAGTATGCACGATATTCATCATCATTATCGGAAAGTTCGCGTGAATAAATCATTCCCATGTATATTTCATAGGGGAATGGAGTTCACGCGAAGTTGAAGACTGAATATTTATGACACTTACCATCTGAAACGCATGGGAGTGATGACGTACAATTTAAATTGTGTGTTTTATCAAAATCATCCACTTCTATTTTAATGGCGGGAAACTCTAAATCATCGCCATTACCACAAAACGTACTTGAACATTCGTCTTCATAACTGTACTCAGAATCATATTGTTCTTCCTTTATACATTCTAGCGTATAACAATAAATTTTAGTTCGTTAAAGCAATACTTTTATAAATTATACCTAGTTTTCTTACCTTCCAGATATTCAGCTTTCACTAAAACTTTACCATCTCTTGCCAAATTGGATTGTACCGGTTTTAGATTATTTGTTATTATGCAATCATTTTTATCTGTTAAATCGGCCTCCAATGGGGTACTTTTATTACTTGTTTGATCTTTTTCTAAGCACATGTTTTCAGTAGAATAATTAAACTTTGCTCTACGGAAACGTAAAACAAGAGAGCGGCCTTCGATTTGCAAATTCATACCATGCTTAAAAGCTTCAATTGATTTTTTTACACTTTCAAAACGAATAAAAGCATACCTAATAGGTTTAGTTTTTGATTTAAAGGCAAGATCATATCTTAGCGCACCTGGAAATTGTCGTTTTATTGTTTCCACCGTTATCGATAAAGGTAAATTCCCAACATATAATGTATAAGGATCAACTTGCTCTGGTTTAGAAGCCGTTTGAGGTTTGGTTGGATCAAAACGTAACTCTGCAGATAAATGACCCTGTCCAAATGGGATTTTTGATATATCTTCAATCACTTTTGCTGCGTCGGCATTTTCTTTCAATCGAACGAAACAAAACCGTGGTGCCGAATTTTTTTGAAAATGAACTGCATCAATTTGACTTGAAAAACCTTTAACTAGTTCAGAATCCAGTGGTATGTCCGGAAAGCGAATTACTAAATATGGAGCAGATGTATTTCGTTTACATAGTTCCTCTTCAATATCAAGTGCTCGTATAGCGTCCTCTCTAATCCACTTTCTTTTTGGAACATTAACTTTTGTATTTGTTTGAGTGCGACTAGCATTAGAAACTTGCTGATAATTTGTCGGACAATCGAATTGATACGGATGTGGTGGAACTGAAAACTGAGTTGTACTACTAACTACATTATGACGTAAAGAGGCAGTATTTATTTGCGAACTATTGATTTGTTGACCAAAATGATATGATTGTTGTCCAAACGAGGGTGCTGATAAATGTCGCGGCGGTTGGAACGGCCAATTGTTACCATTATTATAAAAATTGGGAGAAATTTGAGGTGGATAAGACAGTACTATAGGTGCAGAATTATGAGGAGTTCCAGAATTATATAAATGATTTTGCTGCTGATAGCTTTGCGTTTGACAACTTTGTTGTCGATTCTGGAATCTATTAGGTGGAGAAAAAGAGGAATAGGATCTTCTCATATTATACCTTTTTCTCTTTGGCTTCATATTTTCCTCTATTTTAATTACACTTTTAACGATTGCTTAATATTAATGCAAACCTTACAAAATCTAGTTATATACCACGAATAAAAAATTAGCAATACAGACTTTGTATACATATAGTGAATGTATATGGCTGTGATATCGATAAAAGAAAATATCGTATTAGGCAGGAATAAATATTTTCAATTACGGGACACGGAAGGCTTTGTTATCATAACATAATCATTTGCGAAAAGGCGTGTGGAAATTAAAAAAGGAGAAATGTACCTTTTTTCTTTATACGTTTACATGCTATTATATCAATTGGTATGAATATAATTTTGCAAATTTTTGTGAATTCATGCAAAATTGATAACATTATCTTTAATTTATGCAATTCTCCAAGCAATATTTGTAGTTAATGGGCGAATTAAATATTTCTTATCTTTGATAATTTAATATAATTTCATATGTGATATATTATCATAATATCATAAAAAAACTTAATATATTACAAAAAAATATATAAAAATCACACCTTTTATTATTTAAAACTTTCATAGGCATCTATCCTGCAGATATGTACATATGTCAGTACAAATCAAGTTATTATCATTTATCAGTAATATAAGATAAGATAAGATAAAGAAGGAGGATTGCACCGCGACCTAGGGTCTATTGTGGCCTCTATCAACTCACAGCGTCTCACTTAGCCCCAACAAATTGATGAATTCCAATATCCTGCTAGGTGCTAATGAGGCGATATGATCAATATTTCGAAACATGGATCCAAGGGCCTTAATCCTGCGTCTGCAGATTGCTGGGCAATCCAATAGCAGGTGTTCTGGAGTTTCGGATTCCCAGTCGCAGAACCGGCAATTTGCGCAAGAAGCTAGGCCCATGTTAAATATGTAAGTGCTTCTTGAGTTTGCAATGGCCGGTGTAAAAGGCGACCAGTAGCCTGACTTTATCTCTTGGGAGATTGATTATGAGTTTAAATCTCTTGAGGTTGTAACCCTTCATTAGCAGCTTTGCGTGACGCAAGCCTGGAAGTTGTTGCCAATGTATCTCCCTACCCACTGCTGCATCCTTGCGGAACTGTTCCTTTATGGTGTGGGGACCTACCGCTATGAAGGGTTGAGGTCCTACCATGTTGGTGGATGCTGCAGAGCGTGCAAGCTCATCGGCCAGTTCGTTTCCAGCAATGCCTTTGTGGCCCGGAACCCAAATAAGGTGCGCTTGGTTGCATTCTGCCAGATTATTCAGCCGATCTATACACTCCTGCACCAATAGCGATTTTACCTCGTATGATGAGATCGCCCTGAGTGCCGCTTGGCTATCGCTTAGTATGGCTATACGTTCGTTGCTATAGCCGCGATGGAGGTTTAACTCTACGCACCGACTTATAGCCAATACCTCCGCTTGGAATATGCTCGGAAACCTTCCCATAAGTATGGAGAGCTTTGCACGTGCTCCAGCGACCCCTGCACCAATTCCCTCCGAAGTTTTCGAGCCGTCGGTGTACYACCTGATCGAGCTATCCCTGAGTAGTAGCTCGAGAGCGGAGTCGCTCCAATCGGCCTTGTTGCCGAGTCTGATCTTAAACTTTTTAGTGAAGTTTAACTTTTTGGTAATGCAGTCCCTAGGAAGAAGAGCCAGTGGTATGGTGCC